ATCCAATTGTATCCGATTTACTTAGTAATAAAATACTCATTATACGGTAATCTCTTTCCGAAATGCTGTAGGATACTATTAACTAGATATTTATATGCTTCGTTCCAATTAGAGGCGTTCTCTCATTGATCAGCAGAATCTTCGCCTCGAAGTGCTTCGATTAATTCTGCCTGAATTGTTTTTAGCTACGGCTGCATCGCATCCGATAATCGTAACAATGCCGAAATTTATTGCATTCCGTATTACAATGTCCTCTCGTTTCTTCGAAATTCGAAATTCTTCCTGTGAAACTAACTTCATTTATCTCTCCCTAACCCTCGATACCGTCGTCCTTAACACTAATCCTGAATAACGACGTTCCGAAAGACGCGCCCATAAATTCCGACTAATCCATCTTAATTTGAAGGGAAGAGTGACTATGTCCGTTCTCTCGACTACGAAATTTTATCATTGCATACAAATGCATTCCACCGGAAGGATAACGCGTTCATAGCAATAATAACACCGGCAATTATATTGTTTGTTTAACTTAACTAGATACGTCCAGACTTCGTTAGAAGTTATTCCATTCGTATCGTTCCGATCTTCCTGCGTTTTCGATCTTCTTGTTTTTTAGTCGCTTTTCTCACTTGTCCTATTATTGCTCCGTGTCAAATTTGTGCAGCTTCATCTCCTTATTCTTTTCCTCTCTTTCATTCTTTTTACAGGATTTATCTTCTCCATAAAAATGCAAATAAAATAAAATCCAACATTAATTTTCATTAATTTTCTATTGAAACGAGATAAGTGAAACATGTTTCCTAAATAATCGCATACTTGATGGGCACGTATAAGATCGTCCTATATGTATAAAAGTCTGGAGTACTCTACAAAGTTTTCTACTTTTCGCAGGAAGAGCACGAAGGAACGCTTTCACTTGAATCGATTAAAAGAGTACGATACAGACGAGAATATTCCCTTCTCGTGCAAATAATAAAATAAAATTACATTAGAATCAATCTATAACTGAGTAATTTAAAACATTTCTTGCAATATTCATTAATTTTAACCAATAACGTTCAATAATGTAAATTACAATTAAATATATTAAATAACATAATGAATAATATCCTCAGCGAAAAATTTAAAGACGATTATTGATAATTTATTAATAATTATTCAAAGATAAATTATTAATTAATTATTCAAAGAGAATAGAAAAGAGAATTTCTAGCAGACATTAAATATTTATTTTCTTTGAATTCCCAAATGACAAAATAATTAATTAATAAATTTTATCTTCTCTCATATTCACTTAAAAACTAAGCATAAGATAAGCGATATTAACCAAATTGAAGATCTTCGGAAACAATTGAGAAGACACGTATCTCCCTAAAAACTGCATTTTTCTCGCTCTGTGCACGTTTATACGACATTGCGGCTAAATTACCTCGTTACGACGATATAGTTGTTTTCTGTTGAGCCACCTGCAAGACCCCGTTTGTTCGTGGCGAGAAGAGGAAAAAGGCTAAGGAAAGTGGTACTTTTAACAGAGATTAAATACTCGCCTCTCAGAAAAAATGAGGGAAACGAGATAGGAAAATCGTGTTACGGCTACGTCATGAACGAGCAATTGTTTAACAAGGACACTTCACAATGTACGTAAACGCACTAACAACGCACATCATGAATGTTTAAGGTGAAAAAACACAGAGAAAATGAGAACCATGTCAGTAAGGCTACGACTATTTAAAGGTTTTGTGAATTTTTAAAGTGACGTTTTAAATTATTCCCTGTTTTCTGTAATTTCGTCCTTATTTAATCGTCGCAAAATCAAATTTAACACAATTTGCATTTATATAACTTAATTTAAATAAATTAGATAATACGTGTAAAATGTAAGTTTTTTAATTCAAGTAATTGTAGCATAACAGTTTGCTCGAACAATTTGATTCGTATTTTGTTCGCATATCTTGTTCCTCGCACAATTATATTCCATATTACAAAATATATATATATTATCCTAAAGCAATATTCCATCCATCAAAGTTAGTTTAATCTACGATACCCGATCTACATTTATATAGAAATTTTGGCAACAACGGCCTAATCCAGCAAATAGGATGTACGAAAATGAACTCTGATCGAAACTCGCTACGTTCGCCATTTCGCATGAATGGAGTACGCCTTCCCTCCGTTGTAAATCGTGGGATTTCTTAATGCAGACGTGTGACCGCGTTTGCGTTTCGTTCTGACGTGTGACAATGAATGACTGTTTCTGCATATACGTGAACGCGGAGTGTCAGAAAATAAGGATCGATACGCCCCTAAGAGTCGATATTTCCGATTAAACAATATTGGCTGTTAAAATTATTTTGGCTATGTAATCGGAATTGATAGTGTTTTTTTATTATTTTACAATATTTGTAGAGATTTGCAAAAGATTTATTGACATATGCAAAAATAAAATATTAAAATTTACAACGGCAAACAATAAATGGAATAAAAAATAAATATTAAAAATGATATCTATATCATATTCTATTTTTTCTGCAAATATTCATATCACATATAATGCTAAAAATGAAATGGTGGGAAATTATATGCCATGTATAATTTCATATGACACGTACTTTATTTCAGTAGAAATAATACAATTGTGTAAAATATCTCAAAAATATTGCTATATTTTTTATTTACAAGTTATTTTACAAGTTTCAAGTTGTTTCTTCTTTAATGAAGACATTGAAGCGTCATTTTCTTTCGCTATATCAACTTTAACGGATAAAAATACTTCAAAATGTATTTTCTTACAAATATAATAATAATCAATAACGTTATGGAAATAATACTTTATTATTTTGTAGTAACGGATTAATTATTAACATGTACATCTATATAAATTGATATATTTTCGATTTCTTAATTCTCTTCAATTAAAAAACCAATCAGGAAAATTAAATAGAAGATTTGCAGAAAAAGCAAATAAAGATTTTCACCTTTAACATTAAAGATATAATCTGTTGAAAATTTTACGTAACATGAAGGTTACTTAATTTAATATAAGAGTGACATTTGTATTTTATAGAAAGTTAACCCACGTATAATAAAAGGAAAAATATTTTTATAAAACGGAAACACAATTATTTTATTTAAAATGCATAATTATCTTTCTTTTTATCTTTACAATTATTCTTAATGCTGCTGCAACATTGAGTCATATTGCATGATTCATCGCAATTGAGTCCGATTAAATTTTAAAATTTTAGATAAATTCTAGAGCATAATCTTTGCACACGCATTAAAATTCGCGACGTATCCGGACGATTATTCTTCATTTCGCAGGCAGAGCGCCCGTCGCTCTCGTCGTCATTGAGATTCACCTTCGTGATGTCACATAGATCTTCGTAGAAAATACGTTCGCCTGATGCGAATAAATTGAGTATAGAGATCTTCGCGGCTGAGAAGAGATTATGGTAATGCGAGATTGCGCCATATTTAAGTGGAAGCCGCTTGCTACCCAGTCAGCAGTTAGCTATTAATGTCAGACTTCCGCGTGACTCTCTGCGTGAATGCTAATTAGAATAATAATGTCAGCTTGTCAGAGAGTTAACGAAATACCGAAGTTAATTGAAATATTCTAACGCGATGATAAGCGGATGGAACTGAATCCAGAAAATAATTATATAGCGCCGGCGACATGCCGGCAGAATCACAAAATTAATTCTGTTATTTTTCAATAACGATTTATATTGATAATAAATTCAAAACAAAATCTAATGTTTGTTCTGCGAAGATACATCGGAAATTTTTTTGGAAGCAAAGCGTTTCCAAAGATTCAACGCAAGAGACAATATTCTATATATTAACCGTTGAATGTTTATCTTTGTATTAAGTAAATGAAATTTGGTATTAATTTTTCTTTAACATTTACGTGTATCAAATCATGTTGATGAAAATATCATTCCAGTAAACTTTAACTAAACTTAGAGAGAAAAATGATCCCAACTTCAGAATTACTCAGCTCCAGCGTGTTCTCTCTCCTATCATTAGGCTGACTAATTTATTTTCTGCCGTTAGAATACAATTAGTTGTTCGTCTTTATACAAAATCCTAATTAAATTGTGGCCATTACGAAAAGACAAGTACGATATACGATAGAAGAAGCTCTTGGAAGTTCCGATCTCCTTCATGTTTTTTAATAATATGATAATATGTTACTATTTTCGTAATAAGTACTTTGATGTTGAATAAACAAAAAGATTTCATTTGGATAATTTAAAGTGACAATACGCAATAACCATTTTTATGGAAAGATTTTTCATAAAAAATATCGTATAAAATTCGACAATTTCTTTGACCCAAAAAAATGCTATTCGCAATAATTCCTCATTAGTCAACTAATTGAGATTATTACATTATTAGCCTACTAATTGAGGTTTCTGTCGCCCGAAATACCGTGCGGCACGGCGCCAGCAGAAGCCAATTTGCACGGTGAATTTAATTGAAAAATGTGGCCGGGTACGGGCCGAGATTACGCGGCGAAAACGTGCAGAAAATTCACGGCCGTCTGCCGCAATTAGACACGATCGAGCGATTTATTTCTGACATAAAATTGATCGAATGAATCCCGGCAAACTTATTAAAGCCTGACAAATAACGATGATACTTTCCCATTCAATTCCAACTAGAATCACATGTGCAACTTTTTGCTGTATTAAATTTTATGTAATGTTTTGCTCATTTTATTAATTTATTTCAGTGAAATCTGAATATTTGCATATTTATTATCATAAAATCATTACGGGAAGTTATATAAAAATAAAAAATATATAAACTGGATATATAAACAATTTGCGTTATAAATTCCATAAATTAGATAAGGATGATACTAGTATTGTTGGAAATTCTAGAAAATATAATCAGCTTGCGCTGCGTTGAAGTACATATATTTCTCAGTCGGTCTTAAATTATCCTCCCGCGCTTTGCCGGAATTCTTTGGCGCAATCGCGATACTAAGCATGGGGAGATCGTCCTTGAGTCTTTCGAAATTCCAAAGAATCCCTCACGAAACTGCAGGACCGAGTATTCCGTCCGGTAGTGAGGGAATAAACGGCGAAACCATGGCAGCAGGACTTAACGGGAATGTAAGTAATCCAGAGAATTCTCGCGTAGACGGAAACGGCTGTTAGAAGAATTTAATATCGGTACACATCGCCAAACAATGTGCAAGTCGCTGACAATATTTGGCATTTCCCCTCGTGTAATTAGTCGCGCCTTGATTTAATCCCTTCGACGACGGCTGGGAGGATTAAAGCGATCGATCAACGACGACGTCGTACACTGTTGACGATCGCTTAACCTTAGATGAAGGATGTCAATATTTTACTTTGCATAAGGAAGCGAAACCGCTATTCCCCTTTTCATAACATGACAAAAAGAAAATGCAGACTACAAACTTAAACAATGCAATTTAATATAAACTGTATGTAAGCTTTATTAATATATTTTTTTTCAACAAGATCAAACGTATAAAAATTTTTTAATTTCTCATGTGGGATTAAGGTTCAATAATTAATTCTCAGCGACTTGGGTTAATCCGCTTAGACTAAGATCTCGTTTTAAAACATTAAGCTCGAAGATACACCAGTGAAAGAGTTTAAGTAATTTTGCGCGGAAAAAGTACGCGAATGAGAAACGGAAGAAACGCAAAAAAATATGCGGCATAACGGAAAATGGCACGAGCTCTGGCTTTATAAATTTTCCCGCTATTTTAATCCAACACGTAAGCTGCTCGATTGTACCCGAAGCTTTCGCAAAAATTGAAGGGCTTTAATGCCGCTATTCACGTATTACGTGATATATATATATATATATATATATATATATATATATATATATCAGTTACACGTAACGAAAACATCATGGCACATCAGTATGATCGTTCTAAACGCATTTTCAAAACCACTTTACTTCTCGTACAATTTCTAAAAACAATGCCAAATATTTTGAAAATTATCTATAAAAATGCGAAACTCGAGATCTCTGCAAACAGAGTGTCCTCAGTGCATAATGACATTTTTAGATTATTTAATAACTGTTTAATGCTTTTAAAACTAATAGATATCATTTATCGCAAGTTATTAATTAATTATGTACATCTGAAGTTAAAATGTTTTCTTAACATTATTAGTGATTTATGTCCCAAGAAAATATATCTAAACTACGTTCCAATTAAAAGTTGTGCGACAAGAACTAACCTCATTTTTCTTTGAAATTAATGATAACAGAGGGGAAGAAATGATGAAGTATAATATCTACATAGATAAATAATCTAAAAGTTCTTTCATAACAGTTATTGAAGTTGGCTATTATAAACATTATACGGATAATAGAACTGTGAAACAATATGGATTTTAAAATCGATACATGATAATATTTTATTTAATTGTTACATTAAAAACTAATTTTTATCTAAATAATAAGTAATGTGTATATGTATAATAATACGTTCATAGCTTTTTATTATTGAAGATTTCAGCATTTCAGAAAATCGCATTGTTCTAATAGATAATAAACACAGAGATTTTTATTGTTTATTTAATTAAAAATTATTTAATGTATACTGAGTGCTTTTCCACATCATATAACTTGAGAAAATTTAATCCATTTTATGAAGAAAAAAAGAGAAGAACATCGTTATCAACATTTTATCAATAAATCCATAATAATCAATTCTTTTAATTAATGCACACAATTTGTACTTATATATAATAAGTACGATAAATAGAATTTTCATATTTTATTCCATAAATTCTTCTTCCATAAATGCAAATAAATAATATTTTATCCAAGCTTTATCAAGATTATATTAACGAATATGGCCAATTTATCATTAAATATATCGAGATTGAAAACGTCATATATTTCCATACATCACACTGCTCCGATGAAACTTCAATAATGCAAAAATATTTATATATATATTTTAATGCTTGTAATATATATATATATATATATATATATATATATATATATATATATATATATATA